TTATCGATATACAGGGTGAACGTCAACTTATCCATGCGAGTACCTCCGCTTCACTAGTGTGATCTACTTATTAATGAATTATTCTACGGACGGATATGAGAACCGATTATTGGCGGGAATAAATATGCGTTTTAAAAGATAAAAAAAAAACCGTTGCAACGTCCGCATTAGACTTTTTATCCCCTTTATAAGAAATAGGTCAATTAATTCGAAACTAATGACAGGTGTTTATTCGAGCTGAAACCGACTGATTCACAATCTCGGCAAGATCGGTCCTTAAATTCCTCTCCGATTCGAAATATTTGAAAGTGTTTTTCGATTCGATTCCTATGCAATTCGATTAATTCAATCGTTAAACCGACTTTCCACAAACATTTGGTCAAATAGTGCCAACTTTATTAGAAGATGTATAGTGTTAGAGACGTCATGAAAAAAAAAAAAAGGACGAAGATTTGAGAGAGGCTTGCCTATGCTCCTTTCTGTGTCCTAATTGAACGTAACAGTTCGTAAAAATAAAGAAATAGTACTTACGAATCGTTTATTCGAATAAGAAGCGGCTAGCGCCTTAACTATGTAAATAACTGCTCTTTGAGAAACGACACTTATCGATGTGATCGTAAAAATAATCGCTTATGGACGATTATGGAATACCATGTACACAAAAAAAAAAAAAAAAAAAAGAAGAGTCGTAGTATGTTCGCAGAAGACAAAATCGAGAATATAGCATATAAGGCGATCGAGAAAACTGTAACTTTTCATTTCCTTTTCGAGAATCTCTCCCGTAACGTGAGACTGATCATTAATCGAGTACGCTTACATTGATTTCTGTCTCGAGGAGTAAACGATTAATCATTAATCGATCGAACGATACTTCCGATCACGTAAAAAGAAAAGAAAAAAAAAAGAAACGGAACCACGCGACACGTGTTCTTCTTTCTCTTTTTACCTTAATAAAAGAGAGACAAAGACTTGCTTAGAATTATCTCGCGATTGTTTTTAAGACAATTGGGACTAAGTCTCGTAGGAATTTCATGACGGAAAATTTATGACGTATGTCTCTTGTTACGTTATAACGCGTTATAACGAGTTATCGCAGATTAGATGTAATATGTATATAAATGAGACGAAGGGATGATTTGGCGCGTACGAAATTCGCGCTCGTCTCGGAGGGCAAAAATTTATGAGTATTATATCGCGATTGATATCACAAGGTCATCCTATAAGATGGATGAATCGTAGAAAATCGGCAAAGAGATTTATTCTGTAAAATCGGTTTCCCAATTTCTAAAACTGGGGAAACTGGGCTTGTTGGATTCTTCGTGATTCATTTGCTTGCGCGGCAGTCTGAGAAACGTTTGAATGCTTAGAGAGCGGGCGCAAAGCGAAATGAATATTGGAAAAGGAAAGAGTAGATGTATATATTTCATTTCATTACAATCGCAACAGAACAAAACTGCCGGTTAAACAGTTGGGTCAAGTGTGATAGGAGAATATCAGTTTTAAGAATAAATGTCTTAATCCATCTTGTACAGATAGAAATCAAGCGAAACCAAGACTGTCCGTTCGAACAATTAAAACAAATGTGGAACAGCGTAAAAATTGTATACACATGATGAAAGGCTTAACTAAAGAGAGGCAATTTTGACAGTCTCGATGATTCTGACATTTGTATACGCTAAAAAAACATTCTACCGAAAAATGTGTATACATATGAAAAAAAAAAAAGAAATAAAAAGAGCAAATTACAATGTGATAGAACTTTAATATATCACTGCTTTCTTAAAATCGATAAGAAATTGCATCTTTCAAAGAAACATCTTTTAAAATTCTTATCTAACGTTCATTTTTATTCTTCTCCTTCCCCCAGATAATTAAATCTATTAAAAAACGTCAGATTTTGTAAAATTTCTGTTACAAATTTAATCAGAATATTTCCCGGCAGAAAAATGTAACAGAATCTGTCGACAAATACAGACAGAATTATTTAAATAATTATGACAGAATTCACTCGACTTCTACTAACAATCTTTGTCAGATATGTTGTACTAGATAGAATATGAATTTAATGCAGAATTAATGTCAATCTGCCACAATATTCTGCTTCAATCTACTGACAGAATTAGTATACTACATTATTATTGAAAATTCAGTTTATTTTTACATTTTTAATTCAATTCTGAATATAAATTCTATTTTACATAATGTTTGAGGATTTTAAAAAAAGACAGAAATAATTTAAATATGATAAGTTTATCTAAGAGACCTCAACCAAATTGATATTTTGCAAAGCTACAAAATATTAAACGAGTGTAATTTATTTTTTTTTTATTACTAGTTTTGATCGAAATTTACAATTAGCTACGATTTTTAACGCATGACAAATTTTTTGAGTACTTTGCTAAGTAATCCTTGATATATTTTTTAAATTCATTTCATTATTATTATAAAAAAATAAAAAACAAAATACAGACCGACGATATTCATACTTGCATAACGTGCATAATGATGATCGCGAATCTATACGCATCTCGAGTAAGAATAACACACGAAAAGAATCGATGATTAACAATCAAATGCAGGCGCATGAAGAAGGAATCAGGTATAAAAAAAATCACATATTATAAGTGGCACACAATATGTATAATACTCTACGAGAAGTTTCAACATTTCGCAAGATACTTCCTATTATTTTTACGCGCGTTAAATTTCTTTTTCCGCTTCACGAAACGATATGTGATTCTGTCCCATGAACGTGATTTCTCTTGAAATCTGTCGAGAAACCGGCATGTGATCGCTTCAAGTATTTTTATTAGCGGTCAGCGGGACAATGGGCCGCCCATGACAATATAATGTTAATGTAATCGAAATTTTACAAAAATATCTTATGCCCAAGATTTATTTCCGCGTAGTAACGGCGAAAAGTATGAAAGAAATGTGATTCGAATGAGAACCATTTTGATTCAAATCTAATCTCTATATTTGAAATGTTTCGAAGAATATTTGTTTCTCGAAATATCGAAATGATCAAGATGTCGCGATTTTCAAAATATTAAAACACTAGACGACAAACAATTAGATAAATTCAATTCTCTGTTAATCTATTTCCAATTTGTTTTGGATATAATTATGGATATAATTATGCATATGTTGATTTATCTTTTGAAATATAAATTTAATAGAAGTTATATTTAGCAATATTTATTTTAAAATTAAATTAGGTATTAATTAAGAATTTGTTGAACAGAGAATAATATTTAAAAATTATTAATATTTTAAAATTAAATTAGGCATTAATTAAGAATTTGTTGAACAGAGAATAATATTTAAAAATTATTAATATTTAAAAAACTACATACATTGGAGCAAAAATTTTTTATTAAAATTTTTATTTATTTTTATTTATTTATTTAAATTTATAAATTTTTATTATTTTATTTATTTTTATTAAAATTTTTCTCAAACATTTCTTAATAAATAAATATTGTAAAATAGTAACTAAACACAAAACGATTTATTATATTATATTTTAACATTAGCAATATTAAAAACGTGCCACTAATTATTACAATAAGCGTACACTTGCATAAATATTTGCACGAATATTTATATTCTTTTGAATACATAAAGCAAATATTTCTTTTTTCTTATTCTTAAATAAATATTGTAAAATATAATTAAACACAAAATAATTTATTATATTTTAACATTGGCAATATTAAAAAAGTGCCACTGATTATTACAATAAGCGTACACTTGCGTAAATATTTGCATGAATATTTACAATTTACTTTTGAATACATAAAGCAAATATTCCTTTTTCCTTATTAAATTATTAAATTATTAATTTTTGTAAATTAACAGTAAAATATAATAATTTGTAGTTTGTAATGTGCTAAAAGAATAATTAGAGCAAATTAGAGCAAATAGAAATACGAACTATCTCTTATAAAAATAAAATTATAATATATATATAACAAAAATACATATCAGGTGAATGCTATGTATTAAATTTTTATCTAGTTCATAAAAACGTTAAAGACAATCTTTAAAATAAATCTATAAAATCTATAAAATATTGTACTAAATAACAATGATAATAATTCAAGAGAACATTGCAATTGATATTTTATCTAAACATATTATAAAGTTAATAAAATTGCATTTTTTTCAATAAATATTAAAAGTAAGTATTAAAAATAATTTAAATAAATATCGTCATGTAAAAGATATTATAATTAATACTATTATCTATATTAATAATTAAAGTATTATAAACTTAATATATTTATATAATATATTAATAATTAAAGTATTATAACTAAAAGTATTATAAAGTAATATAATTTATATTTCAATTATGTTTATGAGTCAGAATACTTTGAAATCCACAGAGTGCGATAACATTCTTTCTGTTGCAAAACAATTTTCTTTTGCGCATGTAACTCTATGAATAACACATTTAAAATAATCAAAACTAAAACAAATTATAGCTAATATTTAATTAGCACAACAAAGGAAAATAAAATAAAATTTATTATTTTTTGAAGTAACAATAAACATTATAAACATAATAATACTTACGGAGAAGTATATCAAAAGCGGTAGCAGCGTCATCTTTCGTGTACGTTTCCTTAGGAATGAGTTCACTGAATTTAACATATGGTTTGTCGCACCATAAAACTTCCAACAGAGCCAAAATCTCTTGACTTGTCAGTGGAGGCCGTGACGTCTCAATTGAACTGGTATAGTAAAAGTGATATTTTTATTAAATATTAAACAATTTTTTAATAAATTTTTTAATAAATAATAGATTTGAGGTAACAACATGTCACTTCTTCTCACAGAAAAGAATTATGTGAGCTTCTTAGAAAAAAACAAAGTAATAAAAATCTAATTCTTTCTTTCTTCATATTTCCGAGATTAATAGTTTTCACATAAATATTTATCCACGAAAGCTATCGAATATATACTTGGAATGTTGTTACATTCAGCCTTTATTTCAAAATAAAAGACAAATTTAAATTACGTAGTAGAAGATTGTGAAAGATGTATGCTCTGGGATTGCTGTTTCTTTAATAAAATTTCTATATCTTCGAAGCTTTCTACAGTATCATTTTTACTTGTTATTTTTTGTCCTGTCCTACGATCAACAATGCTAAAATATAATTTAAAAATTAGATATTAATGTACAAAAATTGCAATGTTAAAACATAAAAGAAACATAAAGAATATTAAAAATAAGAAATTGATAAAATACTAACAAGTTCATAGCGCGCGCTCGCACACATATATTTAACATATATAAACATATATAAACATATATAAACACATATAAAATATATAATAGTTATTTAAATAATTAAATTTTTATTTTCGTCAACTTGTTTCAAATATAAATATCAAATTATATCGATACAAATATCAAGTTACGATAAAATAGATTATTACCTAGTATTTTCCTCTACAGTCATTGTATCTGGTAGCATTTCTGGTACCATTTTTGGTACCATTGATGTCTGTTCAATTTCATGAATTATATTTATTGTCGGTATGATGTTTGCAATACTATCCACAGTAGGCTCAGTAGCAATTATGGTGTTTGTTTTCCCAAGTGCACTCAAATCTTCTGTAAGATTTCGCCTAGTATCTGTCTCTATACGTATCACTTCATGAGCTGAAATTAAAGACATAATTATTTAAAATTTCATCAACATGAATTTTTAATAAATGTTTAAATAAAATTTTACATTGCATGAGTTTATCAGCCACATTACTAATAGAATCAGCAAAAGGATTGCGTTTTAAGTTAGCATTCCAACGTTTAGGTAAATGCGATGGTTGCATAAATAAATTCTCTGCCGGTATCGGACGATTAATTTGTGGTGTATCAATATATTGCTAATCAAAACATAAAAAATCTTTAAAATTTTCTTCAGATTAAAGTTTTTTGTCTTGTAGACTTCTCTACAAGTTTATACATATGTACTTTTTATAAGTTTACATAATTAAAAAACTCACTCTACAACGAAATTGTACATTCTGGCGCCATTTTTTAAGCTGTTTGTCAGTTAAGGAGATCCTCTGATCGATAATTAACTTTTTTGGACGTTTAACAATCTCAGAATCGTCTGAATATAATGGCCTTAATTCAATTTTCTCTGAAAAAGCTAACGTCTCCATATTCTCTTTAGGCAATTCAGGAGACAGTACTGCCACATCTTCTATAGGAACAGGAGGTACAGTGTCAAAAGTTAACTGAAAAATAGTGTATAAAAAAATTAAAATTAAAAATTAAGTAAATAAAAAATAGTGCCAAATAATCTTCCAAATAAAAGAGGACAAAGATTTTAAATTTCTCAAACTTCTTAAGCATTATGGCGATTTTTGCTTTTTATTTCTAATTTATAGCTTTAAAATATCTAAATACATACTCGTCTTTTTTTTGTAGGTGTTTTCTCTTGTATCTGATGTTGCAACCGCTTTTGTGGAGTCAATTGGTTTCTGGGTTTATCTTTTCTATTTGATATATCTACAAGTACTGGAGTAAGTATTTCCTGAGACGGTATTCTTTCTCGATGTATCTCTGTTTGTAAAATAATTTAATTGAAATATAATGTCTATATGTATTTAATATAACTAGTAGATACTAACCATCTGCGATTGTTATATCAGCCATCTTCTTCGAGATGTCTTTGTCCTCGCTGATTTGCATTATTCTTGGACCACTAATAAATTATAGTTACTTTTATAGATGTTACAAATTAATTTTAATGAACATTATAATAAAAACATAAAGAAAAATAGAAGATAATTATATTGAGTATAGTCTTAAAGAAAATTGTAGTTAAATTGAGATTAAAAATTGGAAATACTTCACTACAAAAAAAATATAGGAATTGAGAACTAACAATAAGAAATTGCTATCATGCTCAAGGATTTCCAATCCTTCATCATTTAAACAACCAAAATTCAGAGTCACATTTTGCATCTGTAAACAAAAAAAAATTTCAATATCTAAAAGTAAACAAAATTTACAATAAAAAAATCAGATGTTTGGCAATTCAAGGAATATCATTCATTTTGGAAACTAAAAATTTAAGAGAACACAAAATTTGCCAAAACCATTTCTTGCTATTGTCTGAATAAACACTACTGTACATAATCATGATTTATTTGAAATCTATCATCAAAATCTTCATCTGAAAGAAGATGTAAATCTTTTTCCAATCGAGTATATTGAAAAGATCTATCTAAGCGAGGCACTTCTATTAAAGAAGATTCAAATGCAAATGTATCAATATTTTTACTTTTATCCTTCTGGAATGTAGCATTAAGTTTTTGTAATGCTTCAAAAACCTCATCTGAAAAAAAATTAGGTTGCAGATATTGGCGTGATATTATATATATAAATAAATAATATTATGTAATACATGTAAATAAATATGAATTTAAACTTACTATGATGATAAGCAATCTGATATAAATGAATTTTCGCTACACCATACATTAATTGTGAGGATTGATACAAATTTAATCTAGCTGACTTGTTATTATACAATGTCATTTGTGCTATCTTTTCACTGTAATATGAGATACAAAATATCAAAAATAAAAGAATATTCATTATAAACATTTAGTAATATTAAGCATATGAATAAAATAACATACCAAGTTTGTATAATGTTCATTTTTTTTATAACATTAGAATTATAATATTTCTTGAATGATTTTTCATTATATATTGCAGCAAGCCAGTAGGGAGCTAATTTGCCCCGTCGTCGATAGGAGAATTGATCAAATGGATCCATCTATTAAAATAAAAATAAAAGATTACATTAAAAAAAACTTGTAAACAGCAAAGGATCAGATTAAGAGAATAAAACAATAGATAATAGTTGCAGAAATTACTTTAATCTACGTTTAATACGCGATTATTTTTTATTTATAGGATTTTTTGTAACTATTAACGACTTCTTTGAAATAATAAATTTATTTCTAAAATTATTAAATCTTGAAATTTTCAGCATTTTCCTTCGAAACTCGTTTTCAAAATGACAGAGATTAAAATACAGAATATACAATATATTAAATTTTCCATGCAACATACGACAAAGTACAATCGTTGCGCAATGAAGTACCTCGTAGTGAATTTTTTTATACGTCCTAAAAACACTTCTTTTCGCAATGGTGGAGCCGTGTCACAAAAAAAACTGCGTAGCGATTTTCGAATTATCCATCGCGCGCCGAAGAGACCGAAGATATCGATGAACCTATTCGTAATGCGCGATAAAACATACGGCGCATTTCTAATAGCAAATTAACATTCCGCCAATAGCAACAACTTTTGTGTGCAATGATAGTGTGATTGGTTACCATGGTTACAGATTGTCGTATAAAAATGGCGCAAATAGCCACACATGATTAATGATTTTGAGGTTATAATGTTAACTTAAAGTCAACTTGATGTCAACGTGACTTAATTAAGGTTATTTTTACTATATTTCTGATATTTTAGACATTAGTGGTGTGAAAACGGTTCTTTGCAAAATGGTTCGTATTCAGCATAAAGGAACACCAAACAGCAGAAAAAACAACAAAAGTAAACCAATGCAGAAAACACGCAAACAGTTGCGTAAAGAGAAAAGGCAGCAAAAGAAAATAAATAAAGCGGCGTACTATCAAAAGAACAGACCCAAAAATCAGTCGGAAAAAGTATCGGAAATATCACATAAATTATCAAAGATCGACGATGATAAATTAATGGAAGTAAAAGGAAAAAGCAACATTAAACAAACATCGTCAACAAAGGCGCAAAAACGACAATCATCTAAAGATACAAAAGAAAAAAAATGCAAAAGAATATAAAAAAACAAAGAATGATACAATTAAAGCAGGCGAATATGGAAGAGGACAAGATGATTAAGCAATTAGAAAAACGATTAAAATTGAACAAACGAAAGAGCAAATCTATTCCAAAATCTTTTGTATCGGATGGACTAGATTGTATCCTTTTCAATAACTTTAAATACTTTAACATATTTACCATCTACAATTCAATAGATAAATCTTCAGCTTCAGCTTTTTTGGTAAGATATATGTTCATTAGGTACTTTATTAGATCTACTTTATTAAACTGGAGAAGACCAAGTATCTTGTTTAACTTTATAATGAGAATGAATGTGTTAAGTAGTAAATGTATTAAATATGCCTTTCATCTCTATTAAAAATATAGAGCTTAAACACAATAAATAGAAATAAGGAATTAAAAATAACAATTAAGAAAAACAATTAAGAAAAAAATTATTTTTAATCAATGAAAAAACATCAAAGTATTCCTTAATTATATATTGATACATTAATTCTAATATGTCAAAATTAACTCTTTATTTCTAATACTTTAATTTGTTATTCCTTGTGCTAATTAATTGTGCCTGAGTCTATAATGTTACATATGTATTCTGCATAAGTCTTTCATGTATAAATTTAATATAAATAATTAATGCAGTTGACCCAAAATTTAAAGTAGATACGAGATATATTGATTATTCTTATATCATGAAATATGTGGATCTTTAAGAAATGTAGTGCATAAACTTTTATATTTGTATCAAAATATTATTTTATTAAATTTTCATGGATTATTTTTACAAATGGTTGGGTTATTTTATATATGTTAAATTTATATTTTGTTACGTATAGACAGAATTGTTTGTTAAATAATTTGTGATTCCTTAACATTTGATTAGATATTTTGAATTTCTGCGATTCAGAGAATAGAAACCACATACTTGAAACTGAGAAACAATTATTAGAAACTGGATTGAGTAAAGAATTTGAAGAGGATTTGAAAATGACTGTTAGAAAGGATGATTCTGATAATGAACATAAAAAATATGATGAAGAAGATAATATAGATGATAATGAATCTGAGCAGAATTCAGAGGATGAAAATCTTTTGTCTGATGAAAATTTAACTCAAAATGATATGAGCGAAGAAAATTTTTCTGAAGAGACAGATATGATGAACACTACAGAGTATGCAACAGATGAGGAAGATCAAACAAAAAATGAAGAATCAAGTAATGCATCAAGGCAATCAGACAATGAAAACTTATGGGAAGATATTTATGGTAGGCAGAGAGACAAAGAAGGTAATATTATATCAAAAAAATATGTGCCACCTGCTGCACGTATGGCAAACGATGATATTTCTCTCAACGATGAAAAAGTTAGACTGCAGAAACAGATGAAAGGTGTCTTAAATAGATTAGCAGAGCAAAATATGCATACTATTGCAAACCAAGTAAATAATTATTAGTACTTATTAATATATTTATAATTAAATTTATTATTGAATCTTAAAATTTATTATTTAAATATTTGTAATATAGGTAGAAGAAATGTATATGTCAAATAGTCGTAATAATATGAATGTAATGTTATGCAAACTGATGATGGAAAGTATAGTTGCACCAATAATAAGTCCAGATCGACTTATCTGTGAACATATGATGTTAATTGCTATTTTACATGCAAATGTTGGTACAGAAATTGGCGCACATTTTCTAATGACTATTGTAAAAAAATTTTCTCAGATGTTGGAAGAATCGCATTCTGTCGAAAATAAAGAGTTAGATAATATAATTCTTATGATTTCACATCTTTATAATTTTAAGGTAAAATATTGATAACAATACTGATTTTTACATTCTGACAGAACCTTCAGATTAGAATTTTTTAGATATATGGTCATCGCCTTTTATATCAGATATTAGAAAAATTAGCAGCAAAATTCACAGAGAAAGAAATTGAACTGATTTTATTGATTCTAAGGACAGTGGGCTTTCAATTAAGAAAAGATGATCCAATCGCATTGAAGGAGCTTATATTAAATTTGCAACAAAAAGCAAATAATGCTACGCTAGAAAAGTATGTTTTATATTTTTAAATACTATGTATGTGCTAATATAAATACACATTTTATTCTGAATTATTTTTCTTAATTTTTGAGTAAATATATTTCTCTATATATTTTTATATTTATTATATTTATTGTATATTTATTGTATTTGTTTTATATATTATATTTATATATATATATATACATATTAATATTTTTGTAGTTCGAGAGTTAAATTTATGTTGGATGTATTATTGGCAATAAAAAATAATAACATGAGCAAGATACCTCAATATGATGCATCTCGGATAGAACATATGAAGAAAATTTTAAAAAGTTTTATCCATAAAGGCAATAGCATTACACAATTTAACGTAACTTTAGAGGACTTATTAGAAGGTATGAAAATTATTATAATATAACAGAAAAATATTAACGTACAATATAATAAGATTATATATTTCTTTCCTATCTTAGTTGATGAAAGAGGAAAGTGGTGGATAGTAGGATCAGCTTGGTCCGGACTTAAAGATATCGGTAAATTAGAAAAAGATTCAGAAGACAAGAAACAAAAATACAGCGACGAACTATTGGAGCTGGCACGAAAACAGAGAATGAATACTGATGTCAGAAGAGATATCTTTTGCGTACTTATGACAGCTGAAGATTATTTAGATGCGTTTGAGAAAATATATCATCTTGGTTTAAAAAATCAACAGCAAAGGGAAGTAATTTATGTTATTCTCATTTGTTGTATGCAAGAGAAAAAGTTTAATCCTTACTATGCGGTATTGACACAAAAGCTATGTGATTCCAACAGAAAATATCAGGTATGTTTGATTTTAAAATATATTTTGCATAATTGTACAATATAATAATTAATAATGATTAATACAGTTAACTATACAATATGCATTGTGGGATAAATTGAAAACGTTGAATGATTTGAATACAAAACAATTGACAAATTTGTCAAAATTTTTGATTCATCTATTCTTAGGCAAAGGCCTTCCCCTTTCTGTCTTAAAGGTATATAAATGTCTATCTTATACTTTCTACAATTATTTTTTCCTATATGATGTTATTATATTTAATTTTAATAATTACAGGTGATCCAATTTACCGAATTAGACAAATTGACCATGAGGCTTGTACGTCAAATCATGCTAGGAATATTATTACATGAGAATGAAGAGGCTTGTTTAGAAGTATTTGGAAGAATATCCTTATCTCCAAAATTGCAAACTTTTAGAGAGAGTCTTAGATTATTCATAAATCATTTTCTTGTGAAAAATATTTGCACTGCTGAAAACTTGGAAAAACAAAGTGAATTATTGAAGAAACGAGCAGAGTATGTAGATAAAATTTTAAGTACACGAGAATCAAAACTTGTATTTTAACTGATTTATATAATAACTGTAATATAAATGTAAAAAATATATTTTATATATATTATATATAAAATTCTAAAAACATGTGATATAAATGTGAAAAAATATTATGTCGTATTATTTATACCTTTTTCTAAAATGTATATAGAATGATAGAATAAAATTATATCAATTTTGACTTTTTAAAAATTCATGTACGTGCAGTACAGGAATACTACTGATTTTTTTTAAATGTATAGATGTTAATAAGCAATAAAATTAAAGTCAAAAACATTTCAATACATTTTAATACATTTATGTACGTTATATTTATTATCAAATAGTCTATATATATATTTTATTAATAAAGGTATATATAAAGGTTTATATATATATATATATATATATATATATATATATAAAGAATAAATAATATATAATAAATCTAAATCTATGAAAAAGATCAAATAAAAAATAAAATGTGAATGAAATTAATAGGTGATGCGAAATGCGCGTATAATGATATTCTGTTGTATTGTAAATTTGTATTGTCAATGCCAAAAATGCCTTAATTAACAATTTTTAACATTTTGATTCGTATTATCTATTACATTATATAACGTCATATTTTAAATTTTTGTAGTAAACTGATGAATTAAAAAATCTTCATATTGGTACTTAATATCATTCATAATTACTTAATAAAGATATTTAATAATATTTTATATTATAAAAATTTAATTTCAATAATCGAAAATATCAGAATATCTTAAAATTCTTAAAATTTTTTTGTGATACAATCGCATTTAAAACAGTAATATTCAAGAGTCTTTTATAAAGTCTTTTATCAGAATAATGAGATAATATTGATATTAACATTCTAGATATTAAAATTATAAAGTTTTTATTTCATAAATTTTCTTTTACTATTTACATCATTATAAGTGATTATTATATCGAACACAATATTAAATTATTACATATAAAATAGTGAATACAATGAAATGTATTGAAGCGTTTATCCACTGTGTGCATATACACTGTCGCTATTTTCTATTTTGCAACATTTTTTTACATATTAAATTCTAATAGTAGATGTATTATATATTTTTATTTTGAGAATATTCGGATGTCGCAAAAATGTGTAGATTACGTATATTTCCTTCATGTCTGAGATATACACTAAACTAAATTTATATAAAAATATATTGAGTTTAATTTTTGTATAAATTCGAAAATGTATTATGTTCAGTTTTTTTTATTTTCTTAGTATGGACTAAGAATCAAATTCTAATATATAGTGAGTACATCTGAAAAATATATATATAATAAAAAACTTGATAATGTCAAATTTTCAATTGATTTTTTTGTATAACATACTTTATAAATACGTTATATTGAATGAAACTAGTAAGTGAAGCTATTTACTTGAACTATTAATTATTTCTCAAGTACTGGATAAAAATAGATGATGAGTTTTCGTTGCATATGCATACAACATATTAGAACAATCAATAGATTGTTTAATTGACGTGTGACACTTATTGTCGCTGGAAGGTTCGTAAGCACAGTTTGAATCTATTCTCGAATTTACTATTTAGCTGGCCGGTACAGCCATTTGCGCCTAATTGATGGATACGCAAATAATCTTCGCAGTCGACCACTCCATTTCCAGTGCAATCCTATTTGATTAACGAACATTAAATTTTATATATCATGAACATGAAGATACATAAATAGAAATTTAAATGCAAGAATTGATCTTACGTGACTAAATTTAGCCATGTAGCCCTGTACCGCACGTGCAGCGCAATATACATCATTAACGCATCTGGCGTAGGCTGAAATAAAACAAGAAAATTGTATTATATATCTTTATCACTATAATTATAAAATTTATACTTATTAATTATCAAAATAAATAATATAGGCAAATAAACTTTTAGCACACATTTTATTAGAATTGATTTAACACTATTACAACACTATATTGTCATATAAAACAAAAGAAACAACAAAAAATAACAAAAAGTTAATCAAATTATATTTAGATGTAAACATTTAGATGGTATTATTTTTATTAAAATAAAAACAGATTTCCAGATATGCTTCTTCAATTTCTTTATTTCTTTTCTCAGAAATCAAGTTGAAAAGAAAAATTAATTCTAAATGACTAAAAAGAAGAAGACATCTTAATTCAAATTAATCGGAAATATCTAATTTTATATTATGGAAACAGTACTATTTCCATCAATTTGCTTAAAACTGAATCAAGATATAAAACAATATTATAGAAACAAAATACTATTTTCATGATGACTGTTATTTCATACTTTTTTACTTAACTTTAAATTAAGTATAATTGAATAACTACGATTTCTTATTTTTACCGAATTTATCTGAATCCTTTTTTTTGAAATATATATATATATATAAAATGTTTGATTATTTTATATTTGATTATTTTAATCATAAAGCATATTAAAGATGCGCAACTATAAAGAACCAAAAAATGAAAATTATTTCGAAAAGATATTCAAAATATTTTATTTTACGAGAAAAAATAACTTATCACCGTCATTAGTATTCGTTTCGCCGTTTAAAGTTGGTTTTCCAGAGTCAGACCAGTAAGCCCATGTTATGCCAAAAGGTCCACATACTCCATTGCCTCGACAACCAATAGTGGTGTTACATCCCGAGCTTGCTTCACATATACAGCCTAAACAGGTTCGCGATACAGGTTGATTTTGAGCTGTAATAAAAAAAAGTAGATGTATAAATATTATTAATACATATATAAAGATATGCAGTGTTTTACTTAATCTCTTATATTTAATATACTTAATATACATTAAATAGGAAGAAATATCTAGATTTTAGATAGTAAATAATTTCTAGCTTTTTAATTTTACATTTTAAATAAGGAATATATATATATATATATATTGAAGAAAATAATCAATGATGTTTATAAATCTAAAAAAATAATTTTTGGATATAAGAGAGAAAGAATTCTCTCCTCTCTTTTCATGTTGGACTTCAAAATTATTTCAAAGTTTGTCACAAGTTTGTCACTATTCTTAAATCTAAAAGAAGATGTAGATAGAGATCCTTAATATATTATTATATAACAATATATTATTATATAACAATTTTTTTAATTAAAATTTATTAAAAAAATTTCTAACAAGAAAGATATTAAAATCTAATAATTATTTATATATATATATATTTGTATTTATTTATATATAATATACATCTTAGTTTAACAAAAATAATAATAACGTAATAATGAATAATGATAATGAATAAAACAAGAAATTATAATTAATTATTATAATTAAATTTCTCTATCTTTTACAGATTCTTTTACAGATTTTCTGTAAAATGAAATATCTTCACATTATAAACAGTTAGAACTTAAACATTTAAATTGTCATTTATGATAACTCTTCGAGAAAATTGTAATAAAAATATAAAGTTTGTTTGGCACATATTTCCGTAATGTGTGCCGACATTTTCAGCTATGTTTTATACACACACACACACACACACACACACACACACACACACACACAGA